TACGTATATTCGGGTATTTTTATCGTTATAAGACTGAATGTTCTGATCACATGACTTTTACTAAACAATATTTTTACTTCATATTTCTTACTTTGTTGGCAAAAACAAGAACTTCGAAGTTTTATTAACATGAACTTCAAACATTTTTAACTCAAAAGTTGTTGGGTCCCACTATAGAGCGAAAACCCTCCAAAAATTGGCGTATGCCACTTAGCGTGGAGAGCACACGGTATTCTTTAGTAAAAGGCGAAAGAATAGTTCGCTTTGTACTCACCACATGGCTGCGTGCTTTTCTCCAGAGTAACAAGGCGTCTATTTATACTACAACTTCTGCTACTACTCACTCCAATCTTTCCGATGTGGGACTCTGAAAATAGTGAATAAAATCTCGCTGCTGGATTTAAAATCTCGTCTTGGGCTTTTATTATGGGCCTTCAATACTCTTCACCTTAAGCTTTAAAACACTTCTTCCTCCTCTAAGCCGAGTGTAAGAAACCCTAGACATTACGCGTCACTATAAATATAGCCGAAAACCCTAATTCCTTACTCCAGATTACACAAAGCCGTCCAAAATGTCGAAGCGAGGTTCGTGCTCTCATTCTTATCTGATACATTTCAATGTAATAATCTTGAGCTTTGTTTTAATGGATGTTTTGATTCTTTTGATTAGGGCGTGGAGGTACGTCTGGTAACAAGTTCAGGATGTCGCTGGGTCTTCCGGTGGCGGCGACGGTGAACTGTGCTGATAACACCGGTGCGAAGAATCTTTACATCATTTCGGTGAAAGGAATCAAAGGTCGTCTTAATCGATTACCTTCTGCTTGCGTCGGCGACATGGTTATGGCCACCGTCAAAAAGGGTAAACCAGATCTCCGGAAAAAGGTTCTTCCTGCTGTGATCGTTAGGCAGAGGAAGCCATGGCGCCGAAAGGATGGCGTTTTCATGTACTTCGAAGGTAAATTTTAACTTTCTTCTCTTAACTAAATGTTTGAATTTAGTTTCTATGGTTGGATTCGTAGTTGATCAACCAGGCTTAAGTCATGTATCCACCGACGTGTTTAGAGGGTGTTTTGATGCAGTTACAAGTCTTTGGGAAAGTTAACTGTGTGTTCATCGTTACAGATACTTTAAAATGCTTAGACGCTTGAATCTACTCCATTTGGACTCCACAGACCTTAACTTGTTTGTTTTGCAATGCTGGTCATTTTGATTCTGAGTAGATAGATATGTGTTGTTGTGTCTTTGGTATAATTGGTGTAGTTATGAACTGATTTTAGTCTGCTTAAGATCCAGACTTGTGTCATGTATTCACCTACACATTCAGAGGGTGTTCTAATACAAAACGATTCTGGTAAATTTTAATGTGTTCATCATTACAGATTCTTTAATGCCTTAACGCATGCATCTGCTCCATTAGAACTCGAAATTCTCTTTCTTTATACAGTTGTTTTGTATTGATTCTACTAGTTTGTTTTGGTATTCTCTTAGATTTAGTCATAGTCAGGATCATGTTAAGCTTTAAGTCTGTTGTTTTATTCATGCGATTGACATTCACCAGGCTTAAGTCAAGTATCCACCGACGCGTTTTAGAGGGTGTTGATACGGTTACAAGTCTGGGAAACTGAATTGTGTCCTTCGTTACAGTTGCTTTACTGCTTGAACGCTTGCATCTGCTCCATATGGACTCTATATTTTCTAAACTTGATCACTGTTTCTTCTCAACTATTTTCTACATACTGATTTGGTGATCTTGTTCTGCCATTTCACAGATAATGCTGGAGTCATTGTCAACCCCAAGGGAGAAATGAAAGGTACTGTTCTGGTTTTTCTCACTCAATCCAAGAATCAATCAAGTGTTCTTCTTGATATCAATTCTCTTACCGGTTGTTACTTTGTGTTTGTGTTTTAGGTTCTGCAATCACCGGTCCCATTGGGAAAGAGTGCGCTGATCTCTGGCCAAGGATTGCTAGTGCTGCCAATGCTATTGTTTGAAGAGAAGATCAATCACTAGTCGGTTTTTTGCTGGCATGCTATGATCTATCTTAATCTTCATTGGAGCTCTAAATATTATCAAAACAAGTTTGTTAGCAAGATATTTTATTTTCTGACAATATGTATGACCTTGAAATATGTTGTTGGTTATTTGGACTTTTTTCAGTTTTACCAGTAGTGTTTTCGTAAGTTGAAATATATTTAAAAATGCAAATTAAAACAAGTTTATATAGACAAATGATTTACCATAGTTGTTTTGGATTTTAAGAGGAATGAATAATTAGAGATTCTAATGTCGAAGCTTTTGGCTATGTATGAATGCTAAAGCAATTGAAAAAGATTGTAAAACAGAGATCTTTGTGTGAAACTGAACAAAGTAAAATCCTCCATGACCATTTACAATCCGGACTCCAGGCGTCTCATTCTCCTGAAACAACACAAAAAGAAACTGTTAGCATCATCAAATTTGGTCTTTAAGTTTCAGAAAATCCGAATGATATATGTGGTATTATCGAATCATGAATGTGTTTTTTACTTACCTCTTCGAATAGCTCCAAGTGATTGCAATGATCTTTTGGTGCTTGACCTCTAAGAATGGTTAAAGAACAACCCAAGTCCCATCCTTCACAGTCACAGTTCCCTTCAGATTTCCATCTCTCTATCAAACTCAAAGGTCCATCTTCAGGCCCTCCATGAATCCCTGATGGAATCACAACATCCATACTTATCAAAGAACTTGAAGTTTCCGTCTCGGTTTCAGTAGCATCATTTGTTTGGACCAACCGCGATTTCTTCAAGAACTTCAATCCCCAACCTCCTATTTCTTCTTCAAGAGACTCTTCTTTGACAACAACAGCTAATGTTTCAAGATTTGTTGGAAACTTGTTCTCAAATCTTGGTTCTTGTAATTGCTCATCCCAAGAACGTCTCAAACTTGAGATACTCTGATTGTTCCTGATCACATCGACTACTTTTTTCGAAAATCCTCTGTTTTTCTTCCTACACTGTTGTATCTGTGGATGCTCACCATTGGTACCGAACAAAACAAATTGTCTCTCTATGGTTCTCTCATTCAACAATAAGCTCGTTACCTTTACTCTACCAACTAGATGTGATGATGGTTCTCCTCTTTGCAGATGGATCATATACGAATAGTCTAAAACACTTTGGTCTTTGACAATATTGTTGCTCAAGCTTGCCACATAAACATCTTTCTGATTCTCTAATTTGAAAACAAAACAAGGCGAACCATTGGCGCTCATAGTGAATTGAAGGGTTCCCTGAGAATGGTCTTTAGATGGAGATGAAGAGATTACCTTTTTATGCATATTTTGGGATTGATAACTTCGAATTCGAGATTCAGCCTCGTAGTTTTTTTTTTCTACTCTGCTAAAAAAATGATGACTTGGAGAAGTAGAGACCTGACATGATACTTTGGGACTGTTTTTAACAATCTGTAACCACTTTCCGCTGCCCAAAACCGATGTGCGTTGTGGCTCTTTCTATGTAAACAAGTTTCTTGACTTTCGATAAGCCATATTCGCTCGATGGATTCACATTCATCAATGAATCTTCATTTTCATGATCATTCTTTTGAGCGTCAGGAGTTTCACCATCCATTGTTCATACGAATCAATGCAAAATCTCTCTTTTTAAGCCGGTAACTCTGACAATATCTGAAAGATAAAGATGAATGGACAATCAGAAGTCAGAACCATGTCTTTAAGTACAGAAATATCACACAAGATTGGGACAGTATAGATCATTTGCCATATTACATTTTCAAGACCAGAATGTATCAAAGGTTTGG